CGGCCTCACCCAGTATATATAAATCCATACTTAGTTTTTTTTTATTCACTGACAATGTGATTTTGTCATAGCCAACTAATGTTATATCAAAAGGCTTAGGCAGAAAAAATCGCAAACTATTTAAAATAGGTCATAGGCCGTTTCATCTAATTCCAATTACTTTGCATTTTTTTACGTCATCTTCGAATAGCGCTTATATCAAATATGAAATGAAAAATGATGACGCTATTGTAATTTTTTTGCAAGTGTGCAACTAATATTTTTTTACTAATAAAAAAGTTGAAGAATTTTAAAACGAATTCAAAATAAGATTTAAAAATATGCTCCATTTAAAAAAAAAGAGGTTTTATTCGTCACGCTTTTTTGGGCCATGCTGTCTAATTAAAAATAATTTCAAATTGTGCATCTTAAAAATATTTACAACTTTTGTATTTACCATTTTCTCATAACTTTTGAAACCACTGAGATAATGGACGTTGACTCGCCCTGTGTATATATGCACGACTACACTGTACGAAAACCTTTTAATTCCTACTGACTAATCAACTGTCATAGAATCTTTTCCAGTGAGGTTGATCTAAACTGGAATGGTTGATGGAAAAGTGATGCAAAGTTTATAATAGAAAACAATGGCTATTATAATAAGGGTTGTTGCCGTTGTCTTACTTATTTTTATAAACGGGATAATGGGCGTTCTCTTTGTTTACTTTATTTACTTTATTTATTTACTTTATTCTTAATGAAAAAAAAAATTGAACGTTTTAAAAATTTTGCTACTATTATTTCAAAAAAGATTTTAAAACACACCTTAATATGTACATGTATTTATTTCTTCAAAAAATGTTTTTTTTTGGATTTTTGGTGAGAACTGAATAGGTATCTAAGTAATATTTTCAGCTGAAGGTTTTATTATAAGACAGATAATTATAATAATTATATAATATTTATATTGAAACTGCAAAAGTTTTAGTAGTTTTATAAGAAAGCTATTGATGTTAAAAAAAAAATTGTAAGACGTCCCATAAAAACCAAAGTTTGATAACGCGTTCCGTTACATTCGTTCTTAATATTTTTTATTATAACAATTTTGCTCTTGGGCTTTTATAGCTTACTACGGAAAAGGCTTACAAATCTTAAAGCACCTAATAAAAATTTTTGCAGCTACTATCAAACCCTGCCTTTGGAAAGACCGTCAAAAATTTCCTTCGTTTCCACAATTTTAAAAGGCTTGTTTACTGAGCACACTCCTTTCAAGAACAAACAAATAAGCAACTGACTGGTTTTAGTTTTCATTTGATTTTCCGATTACTTTTAGTTTTATAAATAACTTCATTTGGAAACTTACGGTGTTCAACATTACTTGAATACCCATATAAAACTGTACGTTTTTAAACATTGTGAACATATCGTCCCTTTATGTGACATGCATTCTTATATTTTTTAAAAATGACATGACATGAAACTTGACGCATTTCTGAAAAATATACGATTAAAAATTGATTTGGATTTTAATTGCAAAAAAAAAATGAATGACACAATTTTAACTTTCAGGTTTTTACCAAAAACTACGTTTAACGTGCTTGAAACCAGTGCGTTTCAGTTTTCAGAAGATTAAAATATAAAATTATATAAACGTTTTTATACGAGTTGTTATAAGTAACATGCAACGTATTACTCGCGGTTTCTAATCAATGCCATCCGTTTATAAATTAATAATAAAAATAATTTTAAAAAAATTGTTCGAAATACCTTTGAAACAAAATTCCCAGAAAACGTATAAGGTACCACTAGCACGAAATGACACCTGCTTATCGAGATACCACTCGAAGATGCTTTTTTTTAAGGAACACCCAGTATTTTATATATATTTTGTTAATTTATATACAACAAAGGTCTAAAGAATTTCATAAACGTGTTGCATGCTATATTTTTCTTTTGCAAAACAGCACCATTGCATTCACTGAGTGACCAACTCCTGCTCAGTGAATATTTTAGAGGAAAATAATTTGTCGACATCGGATATTTAGTAATTGAATTGTATATTATCAACAACTGCGGTAAAGGGCATTTGAGTCACGAGCGAGAATTTAATAAACGAGTGATTTAAAAGCTTACCAAACGTGTTGCATGTTATACTTTTTCTACCACCGTTAGTTTTTGATGACATGACCGTCAAAATTAACAAACATCAAAATTCAAGCCGTGCGATAAAATCTCCAAAAATAGATGTAGATAAAATAAAAAATAAAATACCATATCCTTTAGTTTAGTTTTCGCTAGCGCGGTATATCTTTGTTTACATTATTTCTTTTAACGGACGTGAGTCGAACTCAAAAGGAAGCCACTTTGCAGTGGTTCCTGGAGTTCAGGACTAGTTTTTGATGCGCACCGACGAAAGATTAAAATTAGGTCACCACGCGTGACCACGGGCTTTAGGTATTAGACGGTTAGACGAAAAAGACGTAGAAAGCGCGCGGAAAGCCGTGCCGCCTACGCTTTTTCTTTAAAAAGACAAATTATTATCGTCCATATAACAAGTGTCGACGTAGTTGAACGAAGTGCGGTGTAAATAACAGAAAATAGAGTTTTGTTTAATTTGCCACAACGACGGACTGTACTTATTTCCTCATTTTCACTTTTGTCAAATGTAGGTGAAACAAAAAAAAAATTTTTATTATTTTTTATTTTTTTTGGTGGTGACAGTAGAGAAAGTATAGTATACATTAAAAATTGATTTATAATTTAACATAAAATCTACCGTATTTTTCGCCCACGTGGACCACCGAAAACAATTGCAAGAACGCCTCTGGAAAAATCGCAAGCGCGACCACCCAGTATGGTAAGAGACCGCCGAAAACGATTCGGAAATTTATCGGGGGGCGTCGAGACGCCGCGTCGGATCGAGAACGCGTGTTCAGTAGGTCACGGTGTCGTACCTGCGTCGTCAGCGTCGCGACGTCGATCCAGCGGCGTTCAGTTGAAATCCGACGCCCGGCGTCGCATCGTTTAGGGCCGCGATGGCGTCTGATCGGTCATTGACGTCGAATTTCATTTGGCGTTCGACGGTTGTCTCGGTGCGCCGCCGCTGACGATGACTCGCGATTTTTGATGAAACTTTTACTGAAGAAGACGCTCAAGAGACTCAGGAAAAAACCGAGAAGGTAGTGGTAGGGCGCTCGTTTCGCGTTAACACTATAAATACTTGACTTTGATTTTTAATATAACGGTCACGTTAGGGTTGCGGGATTGACCGCCTGTTTTTTTTTGTATCAATTGACCAATCAATTGACCGGTCAACTGACTGGTCACTTGACCGAAATAATTTTAAAAATACCATGCAATTTATATTTGTTTATTTATATTTATTTATATTGTGAGTTACACTGCCATCGCGTCGTTTTGGGAATCAAATGGAGTCCATATTCTTATTGGGATTCCCAGAATCGCTAAGTATTCGGATATTCCTTGAAGGGGGTTGTATTTATTTTTTTTATTAAATAATGATAGATAACACTCTACAAATGCAAGATGTTATCAGAAACATTTTTGACTAGTCAATTAAGAAGTGGTCAATTGACTAGTCCGATAAATCTACAAATTAACAATAAAATGAATCTCTGCGTTTTGAGGATAGCATTTAGTTGTAGTTATAAAACAGAAAGAATTAAATACCTGATTATACATTGTATGAAGCTATATACAGGGTGTCTCACAATTAGCATCGCAGGACATTTTTTTGATTAGTAAGGCTCTTTTCAAAATAATAAAAATATACCCTCCAAAAAACTTCTTTCAAAAATCGACCCTAACTCTAACTTTTCTTCCTTTAATTACACAACTTTATCAGACAAAAAAAAAACAATCAAGTTATTCCCTGTTTCCAGTAGTATTTTTAACAAGCAGTTTGCTCAAGAGAAATATTAAGATACTATGAAACTTGTACAAGTTTTGTTTGAGCATTTTGTTAAATAAAAAAAAAATGTTACATAAGTAATTTATGTAATAAGTTGCAATAAGAAATACTTGAAAACTGCAAAAACCTAATAATCATTATCATAGACACAAATGTTTCTCTCTTTGATTTAAAAAAATTACCTTCTTATACACCATTGATTTTGTTGCCTCATAAACATCCGAAAAATTGACAGAAAGAAATTAGGGGTGGTTTTAAAGGGATGTTTTTTCCTGATTCTGGGGCACCCGATATTATAATCATCCGAGTATACAAAAAACAGGTATAAAAACCACTTCACACAAAATAATGCTGACATACGGAAAAATCTCAAATAAAAGACTATAATAATAAAAACTGGACGAAAATATTGGTTAGCGATACCTTACGAGGCGTCTCTTAAATTAATAATTTGAATCTAATTGATAATTTATGCTTTTCTAGATACTGTTACTCGTAATTGCGCTGTCAAATTTGACAAAACGAGTATTTCCAAAGATATTTGAAAAAACCCGAAAAAAAAAATAATTTTTTTAGAAATCCTAAATTCAACTTTTTGTAAAAAAAATAAACCACTAATAATGCTATACTAGCTACATTGTTAAGAGTTGAAAATAGTAACTTGACCTGAATTGCCTTCTCGTATCTCCTTTCCAAGTTTGCAAGATTAAAATAGTAAATTTAAATTACCGCTTTATTAAAGTAAATATAACTAGGTTAACTGTGTGCTAACTTCATAAAAGATACGATCCCTAATCAATGGAGACATGTAAAACCAAAAAATAAATTTCAGTTAAATTATCGGGGTTAAAAATAATCGAATATACTATAATCGCAATTAATTTAGTCACTAAGACTAATCGAAAAAGAATTTTGTCAACCACTCATTGTTAAAAAAAATTGTTTCCGGTGCCAAAGTTAGAAAAATAATTGTCAAACCAATTTGCAAGAATATGATATTATTTGCTTGATACATACTTGCCGTACTTATTTTTTAGCCTCTCTTGATAAAACTCCTATACAAAAAATGTCTGCCTATATGTTGCAGACGCCACAGTTGTCCCCACAATCCGGACGACTATAATGACCATCTCAAGCCGGAAGGTCCGGTCTACATTCAACCGAAAGACGAGTACAACGCGACGCGAGGCGAACGATATCCAGTCAAAAAACCGGAAGATCACCTACATCCCGAAGGCGAGTAAAACTATTTACTACGTAATTTACATACGACACCAAATTTTACACAAAAAGGTTCCGTCACAAGTGTCCGCTTTGCGTATTTTGTTAAAGGCATCTCCCTTTTTAACTAAACGTCAGAAAGGAGTGCGAAATTGATGTCGCAGCCAACTAGACCGTCAAAACGCTTTCCGAAGAAAGCTTATTTTTCTTAAATTGACGATGAAATAAATAGGAATCCATAATTGCAACTTTTATGTAGGTTATCCAGAAATAGCTAAAGGGCACGACTGTACAAGATATAATAAAAAAATCTAAAGCGCATCGTTTTTGTCAACTGACAAAAGAGTAGGTCGTGTATATGCAAATGCTTCATAGATAAAATTGGTTAGTTTTGAAAAGAATTTACTTCGGAATCCAGGCAATCGTTGCTTTTGACTTTGAAGAGCTGATGGCAACGCCCGATGACATAAAGCAGAGCCCACTAGATGAGCAAGAAACCGAACAACCGGCCTTTTGTTCCCTGTTTTAGATCGTCCGCGTTATAAAAATAAATAAGACGTTAGACAGCAGGCACTTGATGCTAATGGTTGTTCGTTAGAACGAGCCGCGACGAAATTAATCATTTAATTTAATTACAACCTACTGTAACTAGGGAGTGAGGGGATATGAAAACAAATCCAGAAATATCTTGAATAAATTACGCCGACATCGATTTTCTAGTTTTTCATTAGACTAATAAAACAAAATCGAACCTCCCACTTAATACCGACCGACAATGAAGGAAATAAGGCTAACGGCTATTCTAGGTAAATGTTTATGACAAACACGCGTTGCAAATAACCTTTGATTTAAATTTTACTGGAAGTGGACTGTTATTTTAAGATCGCGTAGCGACAAATTTTTAATTGGTGTTCGACTAATTTTAGACCTTATTTTAAACTTTCCCTTACATTTTTCGTTCTTAATAAATGGTTTTGAGACGAACCTTTAAGTACTTTGGCTGTATATTACGCGTAGTTAAATAAAAAAAAAAACATTGTTGCCAAATGGTGCCCACGCTACGATATTCAAAGTGTTAAGTTGCGCATTGCGTTTTTTTTTCAGCTGGTGAATTTCCGAAACGCGAACCGCAGGAATGGAAGCCCGGCGAAAGGGCGCCTGTAAAAAAGCCGCAAGACAACCTACGCCCAGAAGGTTTGTGTTATCCCGATAAAACCATCTACGATATTCCCAATTGCTTTTACCCAATAGGACACGCACAACTGAAAGTATTCTATTGTCATTAAGTTTTACATACAGCATTTATAAACGGAAACCTGGCTTTCTAAAAAAGATCGACGAAAATTGATGCCGCTGCCTGAATATTTGTTAAAATGATACATATAGACATAAGAAAGTGACTAACTGATATGAATTAAGGAAAGACCCGGGCAAGCTGTAAGAATGAAATATGGCCGAACAGGTCCGTACATTGCTTAGAATTAAATTATTTGGGGTTTTGTTAGGGAAGATACTAAACAATATTTATTTATTTATATATTTATTTATGTTTAAATCTAAAATAAAATTACAAATTATTCCACCATATTTAGAGCAAAATAGTTATTCTCTTACCTCTTTTTGATGGCGCGTTTGTTTTACACTTATCGGTTGAGTCAACCCAACCCTTTTCCGGGGTATCATAAGTGTCGAACCAGGTTTCATCCAAGTAAATCCAATCCAAGTAATTGGCCTTTGTTGTTCTCTGTAAATCCTATTTTTTTCTAGATATTCCAGTCGCCATTTTCGAATTCTAAAAGATTCCATAAAAATTTGCCTTTTGTCAATGTTTTTAAATCTAAAATCCATGTGTTAAATACACTTCCGTAAGGTAGTTCTGCCACATTTAACACCGGTTTCATCTTTTTCAAGCCTCCTAATTAAGATATCTAATGTAGGCACGCTTTGTTCCTCGTATAACTGGTACACTGGAGAAAATGTCAGCATCACTTCTTTTTTTCTTCGTTGAAATGGGATTATTCGCAATTTTCCATACAGTTGATGTTGGAATTTTCGTCAATGTGACCATTTCTTCTAAAAATGCTTGCTTGCTGGCACCACGATCAATGAGAGTCAAATAAACATTGTTTATTACTTGCTTAGTTTCAATAGAATAGTGTTTTCTACATTTGGGCGGGAGCATCTCCTGAGGTACACTAGATTCGCACATATTTTGCATAATTCGCACACGATTCAACACACGCCTGTATTACACACGAAATAAGAATGATTACTAATTACTTACACTAAGTAGTATACCAAACCAAAGAATAAACACAGGTAGGTATAAAATTATTTTCTATTACGGACCACAATTTTACCTGAATTTAAATTCCGAAACAACCCTTGGATAATCCCATTCAAAAGGTCACTTTCTTATATCTATGAACAGACCATACCCTTTCATAGCGTTTTACGTACATTTTTAAAATAATGCTATAATTTGTATGCTATGGAAAATTTGTTTCCATGAAAATATTTCCAGAGTAAATAATGATCCAATATAAATGTTGTCTCCTTCCAAATTTTGTATTTAACATTTTAGAAAAAAAATACAAAAGTTTAGATTAAAAATTACATACACACAAGGTGTGCCAAAGAAAGCTTAGTATATCTTTTTTTTTTCAAATTGGAAGTCCTAAATAATTCATAAAATGAAAGGTCCCTTTATAGTGATTTCAAAAATATATTACGTTTTATAGTATTTTTTTACAATAAGGCCAGTATTAGCCAAAAATAAAATCGCCAATTAGTTGACCATTCATCGTCACGTCAAAAGAAAGGAAAATTTAAAATGCTGATAGGGTCGGCGAATATATTACCTAAAAAATTATAGATAATTGTAATATGTAAGCCTTCATTTATTGACTTCCGTTTTCTTGAACACTTAACACTTAACTTATCAAAAGCTTCATTTATTTCACTTCTAAATACATCTTTTTTTTTACAATTGTTCTGGACTCTGCTGACGTTTCGTCAATTATCTTGTCGACTATCTCAGAGCTCAACTGAAATAGGAGCTACGAAGAAGCCAACAGGATGATCGGCGAATCGGCGTTTAATTCGTCAGCAACCGTCACAGTAGAAATCCAAAAGATTTGTATATTTTACATCTATTAATTAAATATTCTGTAACAGGAGCAACATTTTTGATAGCTTCCCTTATAATTCTTAAACTCTTAAAAATGGGCGCGATATTTTGAATATCTTCTAGTAAATAGGTATATATTTTTTTTGTAATGTATTCGCTGACCCTAATTGCATTTTTGTAATTTTTTTTACATACAACAATAACATTTCGAATTTTTTGTCAATTGAAAAAAACAACGCGTTGGCATGACGCATGGCCAACTAAATTACGATTTTATTTTTAGTATTGAAATCACCGTAAAAGGTTCTTTCTTTTTATGAAATAATATACAGGATTTATATTTGATATATTTTTCAGGCACACCTTGTCTATAAATAAGTATGTAATATTAAATCTGCACAACAAAACCTGCAACTTTTGTCTAATACTGTTTTTTTCAAAATGTAAAAAAAGACTAGGGGGGGGGGGGTAATATTTATAATGGATCGCCAGTTAGCTTTTTACGTAGAAGTTAATGGCATAAGTATAATAATGTTAAAACGAATAGTTTTAAGGTTATCAAAAAAAAACAACGCGTTGGCATGACGCATGGCCAACTAAATTACGATTTTATTTTTAGTATTGAAATCACCGTAAAAGGTTCTTTCTTTTTATGAAATAATATACAGGATTTATATTTGATATATTTTTCAGGCACACCTTGTCTATAAATAAGTATGTAATATTAAATCCGTACAACAAAACCTGCAACTTTTGTCTAATACTGTTTTTTTCAAAATGTAAAAAAAGACTAGGGGCGGGGGGTAATATTTATAATGGATCGCCAGTTAGCTTTTTACGTAGAAGTTAATGGCATAAGTATAATAATGTTAAAACGAATAGTTTTAAGGTTATCAACAGAAAAAAAGTTTTTTACTATGTGGGATACCTGTATATTTTTGAATTATTGAAAATGTCTCAAAATTGCCTTGCCAAAAATATAGCGTACTTTTACTTTACTTAGTACACTTTGAAAAAGGGTACTAATACTTGCCAAATTGTAATTTTCGCTATTAATACTTAAAGTATGAATTTAGTTTTTCAAATAAATGAGATACTTCTTTTTATAAAAACCAAGAATACAGAGAGAAAACAATCTCTTAAAGATATTTTGAAAATATTGTAATACAACGTAATTACTAGTAACCGGTTTGAGAAGAAAAGGCCAAGAAACTATACATCAAATAGCGATATGATGTTGGCTCGGAATAGTCGTTTTAAAGCCCTTTTAAAATAATTAACTGAAAAACAGTACTGATGACAGTCACTAATATTAGACTTTAAAAGGATAACAAATACAAACACGCCACACATTTCTGAGAAAATGTCACTGAGTACAAGTTTTCTCATCATTTTATATGAGCTATCTAAAGGATTAAAAAAAACTTAGATGTCTTTACAGCCAACAATTACAATTTGATAACTACAAGTACGAATTTTAATTCTGTATTACAGTAACACCTAAAATTTGCTTGTTCAAAATTATAAGCATGCTATATTTTTGGACAGTAATTTTTCTGATGATAAACATTAAAATTTACTTTTCCAAATAATTGAAATGATTAAATTCCTCGTAAAAAGGTGCTTTGAATATGTTTCCAAAGTTCCAAAGTAAAAACGTTCACTTGCGTTTCGTTTTTACTATATAACTACTGAAGATATAGAGGCCCTACTTGTGTCGATAATACAGGAACTTATGAAGTAACTATGAATTTTTTTTTTCAAGGTGCGTATGCGCGAGATTTAAAATCTCGTTTTTAACCAATAATCTTCGTCAATCGTCAATACGATACGGTATTCTTATGACAATATTGTCTTAATATATGCCCAGCTTTGATTAAATGTTTTTGGAAAACGATTAAGTGTGTGGAAGTCGCTGTTTAGAAAGAAAATGGCACAAAGTGCTGGTTAGTGGGCGAAATGTTGATACATGCGCGGAATATTCATTACCTTCTCTATAAAAATATCGATGCCGCTTACGGCGCATCAAGTTTTAACGTAGTAACTATTAGCTATAGCTATAGCTAGTTTTGAGTTCGTAACACTTGAATTAATTAATTAAATTGAAATTGTAAGCAAATTTAGTGATCTTCCGTTGAATGTAGGTGATTTCGAGAAACGAACTCCCGAAAAATGGCAACCTGTTGAACGACCTGTCCCGAAGAAACCCCAGGACAACTTACGCCCCGAGGGCGACTTCGAACGTCCCCAAAAACCAGGCTACCAACCTGCGGAACGACCGAAGCAAAAGAAGCCAGAAGATAACCTGCACCCCGAGGGAGAGTTTCCCAAAAGAGCCCACGAACAATGGAGACCAGGAGACAGAGCACCCATAAAGAAACCCCAAGATAACCTGCATCCTGAAGGCGAATTCCCCAAAAGACCTCACGAAGAATGGAAACCTGGGGATAGAGCACCAGTCAGGAAGCCTCAGGATAACCTACACCCTGAGGGCGACTTCGAACGCCCTCAAAAACCTGGCTACCAACCTGCGGAACGACCGAAGCAGAAAAAGCCCGAAGATAACTTACGACCAGAAGGTGAATTCCCTAAAAGACCTCAAGAAGAATGGAAACCTGGAGACCGAGCTCCAATCAAAAAACCCCAAGACAACCTCAGGCCGGAGGGAGACTTTGAGGTGCCCGAGCCGGAAAGATGGGTAAGCAAGTCGAACACCGAACGTTGGCGTCATTTTAAAGGGTATTTTGGTAGATCCCAGCAGAGAAATCGATACCCAAACGGCCCGAGGACAACCTTAAGCCGGAGGGAGAGTTTTTGAGGCCGGACAAACCGGAATACAGACCAGCAGAACGACCCATTCAGAAGAAGCCCCAGGACAACCTAAAACCCGAGGGCGAGTTCGTTAAGAGGACCGTCGAAGACTACCGCATCATTCGTGGGGATCGCGCGGAAATTATACGCCACGAAGACAACATAACCTTAGAAGGAGAGTTTATCGGTGAGTATTTATTTTAATTTGTTGGGAATATTCGATAGCCTCGCCTAATTTTGGTAAGGTAAGTAGGAGTCACCGGCACATTTTACAGCAAGATCATAATAAAAATTATCTTCTGTGATGTCTACCATAGAATGAGAACTGGTTACTTTAATTGCAGATACCACAACCTCGAGATCGGATTTTACCGGCGAGCTGGTGCCGAGACCGAGTCCTGTGAGACGCAACACCTTCACCAAAGTCGAAGGCGACTTTACCTCAGAGACGACCTCCAAGACCGAATTTATCGACTACAGCACGACTGTCGAACGTACCAGCGTTGAAAAGAGACGCGACAATCTCGTGCTGGAAGGTGACATGACCTTCGATACGTCCACCACTGTCGAGTACACCGAGAAAGTTCCCCATGTGGAACGTAGGAGACGTACGTGGACTAAAGATGACGTGGAGAAGTTCTACTCTACGGAGAACACCGAGATCTCCACCACAACGAAGGACGTCTACAAAACGTTCGATACCACCGACCTTAGGCAGACGGTGGTGGTCCATCGGGATAACTTGAGACCCGAAGGACAATTCGAGGGCACTCCTAAGTCTAAAGAGGACTTCGTGCCCAAATTGACTGAACGACCCACTCCTCGAAAGCCTCAGGATAACCTCCGTCCGGAGGGCGATTTCGAGAAGAGAACTCCGGAGAAATTCGTTCCCGCTGAAAGACCCAAGCCAAAGAAACCTCAAGATAACCTCAGACCGGAAGGTGATTTCGAACGTCCGGAAAAACCGGGTTACAGCCCTTCGGAAAGGCCCAAACAAAAACGCCCTGAAGATAATTTGAGACCAGAGGGTGAATTTGAGGTACCGGAGAAGCCGAAATATAGACCGGGTTATAGACCGAATCCGGTTAGGCACGAAGATAATCTGAGACCTGAGGGAGACTTCGAAAAACGCACCCCAGAGAAATTCGTGCCAGCAGAAAGGCCAAGACAGAAACGCCCAGAGGACAACTTAAGACCTGAAGGGGAGTTTGAGAAACGCACACCTGAAAAGTTTGTACCAGCAGAGAGACCGAAACAAAAGAGACCGGAAGATAATCTTAGACCAGAAGGAGATTTTGAAAGACCGTCACCAACTAGAGTTGGTCCCGGTGAAAGAAGATCCCCCATTAAGCACGATGACAATCTCAGACCTGAAGGAGACTTTGAACGGCCGGAAAAACCAGGATATCGACCAGCCGAGAGACCTACACCCGTCAAACCTTCAGATAATCTCAAACCTGAAGGGGAATTCGAGAAACGTACTCCGGAAAAGTTTGTACCAGCAGAGAGACCAAAGCAAAAGAGACCAGAAGATAATCTCAGACCTGAAGGGGAGTTTGAGAAACGTACTCCTGAAAAGTTTATACCAGCAGAGAGACCGAAGCAAAAGAGACCGGAAGATAATCTTAGACCCGAAGGAGATTTTGAAAGACCGTCACCAACTAGAGTTGGTCCCGGTGAAAGAAGATCCCCCATTAAGCACGATGACAATCTCAGACCTGAAGGAGACTTTGAACGGCCGGAAAAACCAGGATATCGACCAGCCGAGAGACCTACACCCGTCAAACCTTCAGATAATCTCAAACCTGAAGGGGAATTCGAGAAACGTACTCCGGAGAAGTTTGTACCAGCAGAGAGACCAAAGCAAAAGAGACCAGAAGATAATCTCAGACCTGAAGGAGATTTCGAAAGACCATCACCGACTAAAGTAGGCCCGGGTGAAAGAAGGTCACCCATAAAGCATGATGATAATTTACGACCTGAAGGAGACTTCGAACGGCCTGAAAAACCAGGATATCGTCCAGCTGAGAGGCCTACACCCATCAAACCTTCCGATAACCTCAAACCTGAAGGGGAGTTTGAGAAACGAACTCCAGAGAAGTTTGTACCAGCAGAAAGACCGAAGCAAAAGAGACCAGAAGACAATCTCAGACCTGAAGGAGAGTTTGAGATACGTACTCCTGAAAAGTTTGTACCAGCAGAGAGGCCGAAGCAAAAGAGACCAGAAGATAATCTGAGACCAGAAGGAGATTTTGAAAGACCGTCACTAACTAGAGTTGGTCCGGGTGAAAGAAGATCCCCCATTAAGCATGATGACAATCTCAGACCTGAAGGAGATTTTGAACGCCCGGAAAAACCGGGTTATCGACCAGCTGAAAGACCTACACCAATTAAACCTTCAGATAACCTCAAACCTGAAGGGGAGTTCGAGAAACGTACTCCAGAAAAGTTTGTACCGGCAGAACGACCGAAGCAAAAGAGACCAGAAGACAATCTCAGACCTGAAGGAGAGTTTGAGAAACGTACTCCTGAAAAGTTTGTACCGGCAGAGAGGCCGAAGCAAAAGAAACCAGAAGATAATCTGAGACCAGAAGGAGATTTTGAAAGACCATCGCCAACTAGAGTTGGTCCGGGTGAAAGAAGATCTCCCATTAAGCACGATGACAATCTCAGACCTGAAGGAGATTTTGAACGCCCGGAAAAACCGGGTTATCGACCAGCTGAAAGACCTACACCAGTTAAACCTTCAGACAATCTCAAACCTGAAGGGGAGTTTGAGAAACGTACTCCGGAGAAGTTCGTACCAGCAGAAAGACCGAAGCAAAAGAGACCAGAGGACAATCTTAGGCCTGAAGGAGATTTTGAAAGACCATCACCGACTAAAGTTGGTCCAGGTGAACGGAGATCCCCTATAAAGCACGATGACAATCTCAGACCTGAAGGAGATTTTGAACGTCCGGAAAAACCAGGATATCGACCAGCTGAAAGACCTACACCACTTAAACCTTCAGATAACCTCAAACCTGAAGGGGAGTTTGAGAAACGTACTCCGGAGAAGTTCGTACCAGCAGAAAGACCGAAGCAAAAGAGACCAGAGGACAATCTTAGGCCTGAAGGAGATTTTGAAAGACCATCACCGACTAAAGTTGGTCCAGGTGAACGGAGATCCCCTATAAAGCACGATGACAATCTCAGACCAGAAGGAGACTTTGAACGTCCCGAAAAACCAGGATATCGACCAGCTGAAAGACCTACACCCGTTAAACCTTCAGATAACCTCAAACCTGAAGGGGAGTTCGAGAAACGTACTCCGGAGAAGTTTGTACCAGCAGAGAGACCGAAACAAAAGAGACCAGCAGACAATCTTAGACCTGAAGGAGATTTCGAAAGACCATCCCCGACTAAAGTTGGTCCAGGTGAAAGAAGATCCCCAATAAAGCACGATGACAATCTCAGACCTGAAGGAGACTTTGAACGTCCGGAAAAACCAAGATATCAACCAGCTGAAAGACCAACACCCGTCAAGCCGTCTGATAACCTCAGACCTGAAGGGGAGTTTGAGAAACGTACTCCGGAGAAATTCGTACCTGCCGAAAGGCCCAAACAGAAACGTCCAGAGGATAATCTTCGACCAGAAGGTGACTTTGAAAGACCCAGCCCTACCCATATTGGACCTGCAGAGAAGCGGACACCCATTAAACACGATGATAATCTTAGACCTGAAGGTGACTTTGAACGACCTGAAAAACCAAAGTACCATCCTGCCGAAAGACCAGTTCCGGTTAAACCATCCGACAACCTTAAACCAGAAGGAGAGTTTGAGAAACGAACTCCGGAGAAGTTTATGCCTGCAGAAAGACCAAAACAAAAGAGACCAGAGGACAATCTTAGACCTGAAGGAGAGTTTGAAAGACCTTCACCAACAAAAATCGGTCCGGGTGAAAGAAGATCGCCGATTAAGCATGATGACAATCTCAGGCCTGAAGGAGACTTTGAAAGGCCTGAAAAACCGGGATATCAACCGGCAGAGAGACCTACACCAGTCAAACCTTCTGATAATCTCAAACCTGAAGGAGATTTCGAAAAAAGAACTCCCGAGAAGTTTGTACCAGCGGAGAGGCCGAAACAAAAGAGACCGGAAGACAATCTTAGATCTGAAGGAGATTTTGAAAGACCGTCACCAACTAAAGTAGGTCCATGTGAAAGAAGGTCTCCCATTAAACATGATGACAATCTTAGGCCGGAAGGGGACTTTGAGCGACCAGAACGACCAAGATATCAACCATCAGAAAGACCAACACCAGTTAAACCTTCTGATAATCTCAGACCGGAAGGAGAATTTGAGAAGCGCACTCCAGAGAAGTTCCTACCAGCTGAAAGACCGAAACAGAAACGTCCAGAAGATAATCTCAGACCGGAAGGAGACTTCGAAAGACCGACCCCAACAAAAATCGGTCCCGCTGAAAAGAGAACGCCAATCAAACACGATGACAACCTTAGACCGGAGGGAGATTTTGAAAGGCCGGAGAGGCCCAGATATCAACCCGGGGAAAGACCAACACCAGTTAAACCATCGGATAATCTCAGGCCTGAAGGGGAGTTTGAGAAACGTACACCGGAACAGTTTGTACCTGCTGAACGACCGAAACAGAAACGACCTGAGGACAACCTTAGGCCTGAAGGAGATTTTGAGAGACCATCGCCAACTAAAGTTGGTCCAGGCGAACGAAGGTCCCCCATTAAGCACGATGACAATCTCAGACCTGAGGGAGATTTCGAACGCCCTAACAAACCAGGATATCGACCAGCTGCGAGGCCGACGCCAGTGAAGCCTTCTGATAACCTCAAACCTGAAGGAGAGTTTGAAAAACGAACTCCGGAGAAGTTTGTACCCGCAGAGAGGCCAACACAGAAGAGACCAGAAGATAATCTCAGACCAGAAGGAGATTTTGAAAGACCTTCACCAACGAAAGTTGGACCAGGTGAAAAAAGATCGCCCATCAAGCATGATGACAATCTCAGACCTGAAGGAGACTTCGAACGGCCTGAAAAACCAGGGTATCGGCCAGCTGAAAGACCTACTCCCGTCAAACCTTCTGATAATCTTAAACCTGAGGGCGATTTTGAGAAGCACGTATCAGAAACGTTCGTGCCTGCCGAGAGACCGAAACAGAAGAAACCGGAAGACAACCTTAAACCGGAAGGTGAGTTCGAACGTCCGGAGATCAAAGAAATCGGACCCGCCGAAATTCGAAGGCCTATCAGGCACGAGGACAATCTGAGGTCGGAAGGAGACATGAAGATCACTAGACGGGATGACTACAATGTTGTGCGCGGTGAGAAAGTAGAAATCGTTAGGCATGAGGATAATCTGAAGATGGAAGGGGAGTGGGACATCCGCAGGAGGGACGACTTCTCCAAGGTCACCCATGTAGATCGGGCTCAAATAGTGAAGCATGAGGATAATCTGCACATGACTGGTGATTTCATCGATACCAGAACGAGAGACGACTACAGAGTCGTCAGGGGCGAAAGGGCGGAAATAGTTAAGCACGAAGACAACCTGAAGGTGCAAGGCGAGTTCGTGGACACCCGCACAAGGGACGACTACAGGGTGGTGAAAGGAGAGCGAGCTAACGTTATCTTGAGGAAAGATAACTTGAGAATGGAGGGTGAATTCAATGAGTACAAGAAAAGAGACGAGTTCTCCACACATACTGAGAGAGTACAGATCGTACGACATGACGATAACCTGAAGCTCGAAGGAGATTTCGATAGACCCACTCCGACCAAGATTGGACCAGGCGAGAAACGTCGTCCTATCAAACACGATGACAATCTTCATCCCGAAGGAGACTTCGAGCGACCATCACCCACCAAGGTGGGCCCTGGTGAAAGAAGGTCTCCCATCAGACACGAAGATAACCTTCATCCTGAAGGTGATTTCGAGCGACCAGAACGACCCGGATACCAACCTGCAGAACGACCAACTCCCAAGAAGCCACAAGATAACCTGCGCCCTGAAGGTGATTTCGAAAGACCTTCTCACAAACCTGTGGGCCCGGGCGAGCGAAGAACGCCCATCCGGCATCAAGACCATTTACACCCAGAAGGAGATTTCGATAGACCCGACAAGCCCAAGTTTGTCCCTGCTGAGAGACCAACTCCCAAGAAGCCCCAAGACAACCTGCACCCTGAAGGTGATTTCGAAAGACCTTCGCAGAGACCTATCGGTCCTGGCGAGCGAAGGTCACCCATCAGACACCAAGACAATTTGCACCCGGAAGGAGATTTCGAGAGACCCGAAAAGCGCAAGTTTGTCCAAGCTGAAAGACCCACTCCCAAAAAGCCCCAAGACAATTTACATCCTGAAGGTGACTTTGAGAGACGTACTCCCACCAAAGTCGGTCCTGGTGAACGAAGGACTCCTATCCGGCACCACGAAAACTTAAAGCCAGAGGGTGACTTAGAGGTACCTCAAAAACTAGGTTATCAGCCCACGGAGCGGCCGACGCCAAAGAAGCCCCAAGATAATTTGAAGATAACGGGCGAGTTCCAAGATACCACCGTGTCCAAGTCTCAATATACCGTGGTGAGAGGAGAGAGAGCTGAGATTAAGAAGCATGAGGATCATCTGAAGATCGGCGAAGGCAAAACAGAGTACGTAACTACGTCCAGGACTACGTATGAGCCGTCTCCAAGAAAATCACCTCCCAGAACAACGGTGGTAGATAAACGCAGACACATGGAGTCGCACATAACTCTGGGAGACGACAAGACCCTGATGCAAACCACTAACCAGACCAATTACAATACTTATGTGAGGAAGGTTGACAAAAAGGACCGGCGGGAATCTAGGGAAATAGTGGACACCAGCAAAAAAGATGTCCAGAGGCGAGAGTCCACTATCAATAAGCAAGAGCTTGTGGAGAACAATGTCGTCAACCGAGCGGGTAAACAAACCACCGACGTATCTACGGACGTAAAGACTTTGCATGATGGTACTGTCGTAAAAGTGACTCGCACGGTTACTAGGAATACTGGATCGGCGGTAAACGAAATCCGCAAGTCGTCTTCCCAAACCCACGTGCAGGAAAGTACGAAACACACCGAAAACGTTAACGTCATCAGGCAGAACAACATCGTCCATTCCAGCAGCCAGTCGGACGTGTCGAAACAGGTTACACAGAAGAGCTCAGCTCAGCAGCACCATCGAAAGAACGTCATCAGTTCGGAAGAGATCAGCAACCAAATTCTGCACCGTAAAGGTCTCCACACATCTACCGAAGCATTACACGCCACCAGCGCTTCCGCCTTGGACATGAGGAAGTCGGTGTGTAACATCCACGATCAGGGCCGTACCGTAGTAAATACCGACAGGCAGAGTTTGAGCTCGATCCACAGATCGCACCAGGAGAATACCGGGGCATTGAAGAAGAGCCAGCAGTTCTCCACCAATTACCAGATGGTGGAGCGTCCGCAAAAGATCGTGCGCAAGGATAATCTTTCGGTGGGGGGTCACTTTTACGGCCAATCAGAGGCCAAGGCCTACGGGGAGTTTACGAAACAGCAGAACATCCAAAAGGTGGAGAGGGTGACTAGACGATCGAATATATCAAATATAACATTGGGGGATACCAACGTGCACGTGGTGACGTCGTACAAGAAGGAGTATGCCCCGAGGAACATCGGGCCTTGTCCTGCGGTCTTGGTAGACTCGCCCAAGGGACCATTCAAGCACACCAGAGACACCAAGTCTCATAAGTTCTACATGCCGATCGTGACGAAGTAGATTTAGTTTTTGTACCACTAGAGGTTTAGGATTAGAGACTATTTAATCGATTTCTAACATTGTGATACGAGTTGCATATTTTTTAGCTAACCGACGAGATAATTGACGCGCTTGTGGTATTTGGGTTTTATGCTTTGGGATATCGTGCCATTCCGGACAGTCGCGCTCGCCCGCACCTGCGTAAAACCCGCCCCTCCCAGAATGGTTCTAATATAGTTGTTATATATACATATATATCAGTTTTTCTGTTTATTTATTTTATTTTCTTTAAATAAATTTTGGTTTTAAAGGACTGAGGAGCGTGTAGTTTTTTTTTTGCTAGATCGGAAAATTTTGTATCTCTCGGGGTTGCATATTCCGGCCAACGCGATCTTGCAAGAGCAAGGGGCGTGAATTGGCAAAACGAATGTAGGGAAAGGCGGTGTCCCACCGCCGGGTAGGGAGACTTATCTGGACGGCGTGGGACGTTTTGTAATTTTTGTGAGGTGAAATAAACAGGTGTTTAACGAAATTGGTGTATTTTTCTTTTTATAACCATCACGAAAAAGAAATTAACATAAAATATAACAATAACATTAAAGGCTATTTTGTTTTATCGGTCCATTTTTAACACAAAAGTTATTAGAAATACTAAAAGGATGTCGAACTTCCATTGTCTTTATTTTTAACTTACACAACGTTTCGGACAGTTGTATCACTACCCGTTATCAGGTGTAAACTAAAATTAATTCTAAGACTACAAGGTTTATAAACCAGGCGACGGCGCTCATCCATGCCGGGTATAGTCAAGCGTGAAGTTGTTCAACTAGAATGCCTTATTAGAGGATGCCACATTGTTGGTATATCCGCGCTTGGATTGCTGAAGATGTTTTCATTGTTTCTAATGAAAACAGCTTCTTTAAATTTGCGCTATCTCCAATGCTGCTCTCTGTGAACAACCCGCGCTCTGGACCATTGGATGTTGTGTTGTTTGGTCCACACATGTTCTGCGATACCTGATTTTTGCGTTTCACCCTTCATTGTATGTTTCTTATGTTCTTCAACTCTTATTTTTAGAGGTCTTTAGGTTTCGCCAATATATGACTCTCCGCATTCACAAGGTATCTGGTAGATACACTCTTTCTCTTGAGTCGACGTTTCAGGCTTTGTTTTTGTGAGTACACTTCTTAATGTTGATCCAGATTTGAATACAGTTTTAACTGGATATTGTTTAGCTATTCGCCTAATCTTTTCTGATATTCCTTTCACGTATGGGATCGTCAAGAGAGACAGAGTATCTACCTCACATTGTTCCTGTGTTGTTTCCCGCTTACAGTTTGTTATTATTTTGTTTATAGATTTTTCGGAGTAACCGTTCTGAAGCAAATCCTTTTTAACATTATTCAATTCGGCATCGGGAGATGCTTGGTCGCTACATATTGTGATTGCTCTTTTGCACAGCGTCTTAATTATTCCTAGTTTGGTTGCTTCAGAATGGTTAGACTCAAACTTTAGATACTGTCCTGTGTGGGTAGGTGTCCTATATACGGACGTGTTAATAGAACCATTATTTCTACTTACTAGGACGTCTAGAAACGGTAGACAGCCGTTCTTTTTTTTCTCAATAGTAAATTTAATTGATGTTCGCAAAGAATTAAGATGATTCAGAAAAGAGTCTAGCTGTCTATCGGTTCCACTCCAGATAATGAAGGTATCGTCAACATATCGAAGCCAGATCTTAGGTTTAATAGTTGCAGTGTTTATGGCATGAGTTTCAAGCCACTCCATGTATCTGTTCGCTATCACTGCAGAGAGAGAAAAACCCATCGGCAGGCCATCATCTTGTGCGTAAAACATATCTTTGACTTGAAAGTAAGAATTATGCAGACAGCACCTCAGAAGCTCCAACACTCCCTCAAGTGGCAGCGAAGTTCTCTCTGAAAGTTATTATTTCTGGAAACAAGTTCTGGATCATGTGTCAATTTTTCGTGAAACCTTGAATGCAGCAAACAGAATTATGCCACCATGTTTCGTTCCTGAGATACAGGGTGGAAAAGGGATTTTGCGGTTTAAAGAGTTTTATATTTCGGACACACTGTAAGATAGAAAAAAGGTAAACTTAGAACCCAGTGGTCAAGAAATTCTTTAGGCAAATCGTTTCGAGATGTAGCTCGAACAATCTCAAATGGAACATTGTATTATTTGGTCGCTAATAATTTGATTTTTTCTCTTCTGACGTAAACTAACCCTTAAAAGCGCATATTAAAGTAAGAAAGAAAGTTGGCCATGGAATTAAAATTATTAAAGCATCCACGAGCAAAATTAAACAGATATCTTATTTAACTCTGCTCCTAGATAAATGCCATGGAAACAAAAAGCAAAAAAAAAGTACTTTTATTAAATGTTAGTTAAATTAATAGACATTAACAAAAAAAATAATAATTTTTAAAATAGTCATTAGCAGTGATGGCTTTTCAGCAGCTGATTTATATTTTAACATATTATTTTTTTAAATATCTTTTCTATTCCACTTAGAGTAAACTATTTCCAAAGTTATTTTTATATCGTAAATATCAGAGAGGCTGCAGTCAAACACGGCTTATTTTCGCCAAATTACATTAAGTTTTATTAATGGTGGATCATTTTCAAATCAAAGGACTAAAACGTATAATAAACAAACACAGATCTATCACGATAATTCATTGTAGGAATAGTGACCAAACTGTGGGGCGTGCCTAAATTTATATAACCGGCATCTCCAAAGAACCCAAAGGTATAATCCGACAAAACCTATATAAGTTGTAGTGCTATTTTTAATAGGAACATAGAAGGTTTGGTCTTAGCGTAGCTTAATTTATATTTGGAACAAATATTAAATTCCACATTTGACGATAATAATTTAACAGCGGATTCTTCATATCTAGCAATTTTAAATAAAATAGTACCGAATATATTAGATATAAAAAATATTAATTTAGCAAGACCCACAATGCACAAATTATGACGCTAGTGGAAATGAATCAGTAAGGTGGCCTGCTGGGTCGCCAGACCTCTCAATATTAGATTTTTTTTCGTTTGGACTTACTAAAAACAAAATTTACCTGAATCCAGGTAATACTATGGAGCAGCTACAAAACACTAGATCTATGATAATGATGAATGAATTAAATTATATGATACCACTCAAAAAGCGCTTTTTTAATTAATATAATTCTGTTTGAGGCACTCAAAGTTTCATAATAAACTGACACAGAGTCACGAAAACCATAAAGTTTTATTTCTGTTGGTTACCAGGAAAACATGTCCTGCGTTGAGACACAGTGTTTTGGTTAAACGTTATTAACAAAATTACTAAAAGTTTAAATTAACTACAAAACTACTGTAGAATGTGTCGAAAATTAAATAATTATTTAATTAATTTTCTAAATTTACTCGCACGGGACGGAATTTATTTTTTTTACACCACGCCGCGGTGAAATTAATAAATAAAAACAAGAGGTAAGGTGTAGTCAAACATGATTAATGCAGTACACAACTCTAATAAATATAACAAATGCGTTTATGATGTGTGGGTGCGTATTACAAAACCGACGTAAGTGATCAATCAAAAACCACAGCCCAATCCCTTAAGAGGACAGTATTGCGTCCAACTTTCCATGGGATTGTATTGTGGTACACATTTCTCTACTTAAAGACCGATAATAAGAATAAGAGCTACGTAGTGAAAGCTCGACGAACTCCCAACAATGTCAATCACCAGTAGGTAATTTCAGTGCAAAAATAAGTGTATGTAAACTAAATTTTTATCCAAAATTTGAAACAGTGGGGTGATTTTTTACTGCTCTTTGTCCTTCAATTGTCAAATCATGTTCTTCCCGGATGCGTGTCGTAGTGAATAAATAACTGGAATGAAATTAATAAAAACGAACAACGAACTTGAAAAGTAACGAAAATTCAATACGGGGGAAACGCTTGAATAATCGACGGGTAACAAAAAAAATGAGAGGTGCATCAGGTTTCTTATATTCAGTTTTAGAATCAATTTTATACGCGATCGAAACATTTCTTAGGTCCTTTTTTGACATATGCTATTCAACCTTCGATTACTCAGTCACCATAGTGCTCATATTGCTACAAAAGGACAAATAGAAAACGATTTCTACTTCGTTCTACTATTTCTAAAAACATGTATTATTTTTATTATATCCAGATCTAAAAAAAAATATAAAAGTTGTATCACTTTTTATATGGCGTATTAAATAAAATTAAATGTTTTTCATTCATTCATTTTCAAGATATTATCAAAACTAATATTTCTTTTTTTAAATAGGATGCAATGAATCTGAGCATCTCATATATTTCGATTGATATTCAGATATAGATCGTCACTCCTACATAGAGTAGAATGGAAGGCAATTTGAGTATCTCTTGTTATTAATTTTTTTTTGTTTTTTTTTGTAGTTGTTTTAGTTTATCGATGTTTTAAATTTTTTTGTTAACTGAATATTGAAATTATTGAAAATAAAAACATCAGTAATTTGTTTTAAGTGCGCCATAAGCCACCACGTAAAGAGTCGCAAAACTTTTGTACTTCAAGTTTGTTTTCTGTCTCCATCAATAACAGAGTGATGAGAGATAATTAAGCCAATATAGTTAACGTGGATCTAATTCCGTCAAATGAAACACTCGAACAGAGAACGGGATAAATTTATCTTTTTTTTTGTATCTCTTGCCATTTAACCTATACGCAAAAATTACTGTTTGCAAATCGTGGCGAGTCTCTGACCATTTTATGTCGCATTGCTTCGACTAATAGCTCTGCTATCGCAGAACTCAAAATCTTACTTTGTATTAAAAAAATATGTCCCCATAAAATCTAATACTCAATTTTGAAACAGGAACATGCCTAAAATTATGCTGTTTTTAGTTTTCCCAAGTCCATAGCGATAAAATGCCTGCCATTCCCTTGACGTTACTCGCCATGACATGCCTGACTGGCGGCAAACTGACTCATTTGGAATACTCGCCGGTCGAGTTCGAAACTTGGAACCACATCAAAAACAGTTCGACCCGTACAGATTTCGAGACCTGCAACATCATCGTAACCGCTCAAGACGATCTTTGCTATCGCGAACTCTACATGTACACGAAACATGATAGGTGCGCTAGAAAGATCGTCAGCAGCCTCGAGGACACACGATTTTTAACCGACACCCGAACCACCACCACCATCTTGTTGATGGGTCATTTGGAGGACCTCGGCACCGTTACCGACGTCCTTATCAACACCACATTCTTCCGTAACAGTGGGAAGTTCAGGTTCGTCGTCTGTACGGCTCCAGAAGACGACCCCAAGGTTAACGAGAGTCTGAGAAAGATCTGGAGTTATGGAGTAATGAAAGCGAGCCTTGTGTACTTCTACGAATCATTGAGGGTCGCTTCGTACGACCCTTTCGCGCGTGAGTTTCGCAACTGGAGAGCTCTCGATATGGACGACAACGCAGTAGAATTTCTCAGCAACGCGCGCAACAT